AATAATTTAAAGATGATTTTATATGCAGAATAACAGTACTTATGTAATTCATTTGCTTAGAAAAGATGCTTTAAAACTGTTATTTCCTTGATTATGGATTATAAACATCTAAAATCAGCATGTCCCTCATTTTCTTTTATTATTTAACTACAATTGTTTAGTTTTTGGGTTTTGTCTCACAATTAGATAAAAGACAGTGCCACTTATTGATATCTGGAAGAATAAGCAGGTTTGAGGTACAGAGATCAGAAATTCATTTTCGGACATGTTAAGTTTGAGGTTTCAATGAGGCACCCATGGAAAAATTTCAGAGAGGTGTTTGGATGTGTGAGTATGGGACTGAAAATGTAGAAATGAATGAATGAATAACAGAGTAACAGTGCAGTGCTTTAGACACCAGAATCTGTATGAGTTTGCATCCTAGCTCTGCTATTTAGCAGCTGCTGACCTTAACAAATTATCTAACTCTCTGCCTCAGTTTACTTATATCTAAAATGGTTATAAGTAGGTTAATGTGAGAATTAAGTAAATAAACAAATATTTTTTAAACTTATAGTTTTGCTTGTTATAAATTTTAATTTTTATTATTCTTATCACTAGTAGCAGCAGCTATTACAGATGATACTTAACCTTTGGAGAGGATAGGGTATCTAAAGAGAGCGGAAAGAAGCTCCCAAGTTCAAGCCTTGACTAACCCCCAAATTAGAGATCAGGAAAACAATAAAAAGAATTTAAATGTTCCCTGCCTATGATGTAGGAAAAATTACACCAGGAAGGTGTCATGGAAGCCAAAAGAGGAGAATCTGTCAAGAAGGCCCAAACACTTGGTAGCATACAGACTTGCGTCTAGCTAGCTGGTATGATATAGCAACAATAATTCCCTAATGTTGTTGGCTCTCCAAGTTTAGGTCCAGCTACATGCCCAAAAAGGAAGGCATTTTTTGAGCAAATGCTCTGGAGAAACTTCTTCCTGGTGTTGCAGCATTCCTCTCACAGTCCTTATTTTTTTGACTTCTAAGTCTATTTCAACAAATAAAAATAAAAGTACTCCTTTAAATAAAGAGGGTCTTCATTCAAACCAGGAAGCATTGCTATATAAGGGAAAGTAATTCTTAAATATATTCAGAATAATTATATTCTTGAATGCCTAGGGGAAAAGAAAGGGCTTTGTATAGAGAGAAGTAGAGAAAACAATACTGTCAAATACATTTACATGGTCACTATTCAGAGTCTCCAACAACATTAAAGGAGTAGAGTGTCTTATTTTCACAAGTAGAGCTTCTCCCTAAGTCAGATTCCAAAAATAAGCTACTACACTAACCTCCTCTGTTTAATACTTTGGAAAGCACAGAGATGAAAATGCAGCACAAGTCTTTACTAAAAAAAGATCTGATGTTGATGTTGGTGGGCACATAATATTTGGTTAAAACAAACAACTTTGGAAAATAGAAACCATACTCACTCCATTTAAATATAAAATGCATATATGCATTTTTAAGAAGAGGCTTAAACTAATGTTTGAAAGATTTTTTTCAATAGCAACAAAAACATGAAATGCCAGGTTTTATTTTCCAGAAGACATTAGAGAATAATTTTATTGTTAATACTAAATAAGGATAACAAGAATAAGGTTCCAGACTCTGGTTTTGGGTGTGGACAACTGCTGAGTTTTGTTCCATTTCATGCATATTTGACCCAGGTCAGCTTTATCACAAGGAAGGAGCAAGGAGGGGGATTTTGCTAGTAGATAGCTGAAAACCATGCAAGCTCACTGCCATTAACAAAGTGCAGCCAAAACTGACACTATTCATGGGCATAAATCCTATGTATCCACAATACTGATATACAGTAGAATTGCTTCCTATGATATTTTGTTACTTATATATGCTGCAGGTTTCCGTCAAGGTAGAAATGTTATCTTTGGTTTATGAAAATAAAAGATCTCTTTGATAAGGCTCAGAGAGCAAAGGAACAAGTAAGTTAGAGGCTGCACATGTATAGCCATTCCATCCCCGAGAGAAGCTGTGGGGACAGTTCTTCTAGGCACACTGATGGCAATACATTTCCTCAATTTTAGGATTCATAAAGGTTTTTTATTTTTCACATCTGTATGCATCTCAGAATTGATTTTGTATGTATGGTTATAATAATGTTTCTCATATTTATATATTACCCAGCTGTTTAAAGGAGGAGGGAGCTCTGTAGGTAATATAAAAACAGTGCCAGATATATTAAATTTAAAAAGTACAGAACAATGTGTATAACATCATTTACATTTACATACTGTTTTTCAAAGGAGAGATACATATATGTTGCTATATACATATTTTATTTCTAGAAGGAATCACAAAGAACAGGTAAGGGCTGTATGAAAGGAGAGGGGAAAGAGGTAGGCAGAGGCCTATTTTTCATTGTATACCCTTTTCATCTTTTATTGTTTATGTTTTACGTATTTAAAAGTATAGTAATTGACTTTTTCAAAAGAAATGACCAATACTGCATACTGTTATGTATACCTGCATATGTAGTCAGCACATAAAAACTTTTTTCTTTTTTTTTTTTTGAAACAGAGTGTTGCCCAGGCTGGAGTGCAGTGGTGCAATCTTGGCTCACTGCAACCTCTGCCTCCTGGGTTTAAGCAATTCTCCTGCCTCAGCCTCTGGAGTAGCTGGGACTACGGGCACATGCTACAATGCCCAGCTAATTTTTTAATTGTTAGTAGAGGCGGGGTTTCACCATATTGGTCAGGCTGGTCTCAAACTCCTGACCTCAGGTGATCCACCTTCCTCGACCTTCCAAAGTGCTGGAATTACAGGCATGAGCCACTCTGCCCAGCCTAAAACCTCTATTAGGAGGACAGGGTATGGTCTTTAGCTCACACAATGAATTAGTATTCAGCAACAAAAAACAAACTATTGATACATGCAACGTCAAAATGGCTCTTTAAAACATTACACTGAGTAAAAGAACCTTTGTACAAAATAGTGCATACTTTATGATTCTATTTACATGGAGTACTAGAATAGGCTAAATAAATCTATCACAAAAACAATCACAATTGTTTTCTGCTGCCAAGGAAGAGTGGTTATGTGAAGGGGTGGGGGCCTCCTAGGAAAGGGCACGAGATAACTTTCTGGGGTAACAATTATGTTCTATGTTTTGATAGGTGTCTGCGCTACATAGGTATATACAGTTGTCAAAACTCAATAAATGTTCACTTAAGACATTTTTATTGTAAAAGAGATTTTCCTCATGAGAAAATAATCCGTAAGCAAATTTTGAACACTAGTTAATGATATTCACTCTGGAGTAGAGTGAAGTGCAATAAATAATGCAATTTATTTTGAAATGCATCAGAAGAAAAAAGATGGGTTGATGGATAAACATCATGATATATGACAAAACAAGCGTAGTTACATGTTAATGGTAATATCTAGGTGACAGGGATATAGGTGTTCACTATGAAATCCTTTTAGATTTTCTGTATGTTTAAAAATTTTCAAAACCAAATGTCAAAAATACTTCTAGTTAAGTTATTCTTTAAAATGCATACATTGTACGTAGCAACATCTCTTTGTCAATACACATTGGCCTACCTCATATACTAAACATAGTGGGTTTAATAAGGAGTTTACAAATATTATATTAAATTATATTAATATTATATTAAATTTCCAGAACCATCATGGAAGGGACTGTGGTTAAAATATGTAAAGGAAATACTGAATGTACACCTTGATTTGCAAATATGAAATGATACCACTTGTAAGTTTGGCTTCTAGCAACAGTTCAATGCCCTTCCAATGACCTACTCTAAGCCAGTTCACTCTACTACCAAAAAGAAGTGTTGGCAGCACTACACTACACTCATAAGGACAGTGAGTGAAGATCTCAAAGGGTATAAAAGCCACCGCACACATCACGCATCTCTCTCTTCTCTCTTCTTTCCCTCAGGGGACATAAAGTAAGCCCCACTCACCACAGCTTCCTCTCACTTCCTTCCCTTCCCCACACTGCTTTACTCTCCATACCAGCTGGTGTGGTGAGACCAAGAAAGGGAACGAACCCATATTCTCTTGCAGATGCTCTGCCTCTTGCTCAGATGCTGCTAGGTGTGCACTGGATCAGCCTACTTCAAAGGATCATTAGATCCAAGACTGAGGTTTATGCTGGGAGGGGATACTGGGGCTGTGGCCTTTAGTGCAGCAAGAGGAATCTGTGGTTCAGCCTAGCTTATCGGGATACTGCAATGGATTATGGTCACAACTACAGCTAGAAGTCAAGCTTTTCTTCCCCTGTGTGACTTGCTCTGCTATAGTGCCTGTGTCTCTCTCTGTGTGCATGTGGGCATCCATCACTCTGGGGCATCAAAAGATGGAATGGCAGCAGCGTAGGTTGGAATTAGGCTATTTCTGGAAGTTTAGCTCAAATACCCACTAGCAGCATCCTGACACTGCAGATTTCAAATGTAAACCACTTCTTATCTTTTTTTTTTCCCACTCAATTATATGTTGGGCACATATTTTCGAATCAATATACATAGATTTATCTACCCCATGCTTTCTAATCTTTAAGTAGGAGTTGATGAGTATCCTGGCCCAGTGATAACTAAAGCAGATATAGTAAGATTTGCTCTAATAGATCAAGGACTATAGATCTATCATCTTCCCTCAACAGAACACCTATATGTCAGGGCTCTAAACTAGGGCATAAGGGCCTCATGACAAGTCATGATACTTTTACCGTGTGACATTCTATATTTTCTGTGTATGTGCATTACTACAATAAGCCAAAAAGTGACTTAGTCCAACTGTATTTGATGGACAGGATGCCAAAACCTATAGCTTATTCTATTATTTGTTTTCCTGATGAATTCAATGACTAGATGTTTTTACATTATATAAATATATTCCAGTTTGAGTAATGTATAAGAAAATTGTTAGAAAAGAGTAATTTTGGAATTGATAAATTATTGAATTCCTATTACATATCATTCTTACCTCATTTGAAGGAATGGTGGCAAAGGGTTTGATGACAGCAGCTAACGGAATCTGAGCTTGCTTTGCCATATCTGACGTGCATGGAAAACAGTATGTTGTGCAACGGATGAATCGAGGACTGGCATTTCCTGAAACATTCAAAAGGATACACTTAAAACTTGTTTAGGAAAAAACCTTCCCTAAGATATTCAAATATTTATAAAGGTACTTGTAGATAATGCATTGCATTATTTCTGATTTGTAAAACTCTCTTCATGATTTTTTTTAAAAGTAGTATTGTACAATTCTACAATCTATTTCTAGGAACACTATAATTTCTTACAAAATAAAAATACTCTGAATCCTACTGCAAAGACATAAAAGTAGTATCTTAGTTATTATTATTTTCCATAAGCAGAGCCTTAATATAGCCTTACCATAGATTTGAGAAGTATTTAGATTCAATGGAAAAAATAAAACAATGAGGCACATAAATATGAAAGAACAAAATTTTCGAATCGCAATCATTTCTTCTTCATCTTCTTCTATCTGCTTATGGGAAAGGTAAGCATTTGTATATCATTTCATATTACCAAGTGATACTTTGTCAAATATGATGCCATTTGTCTGTTTTTTTTCTAAATTTGGAAATTGCATTTAGAAATGAAAATTCTACTTGTAACAGAAATATTATTTTCAAAAATACCCTAATCTATTTTTGATAGATGTTAGGCTCCCTGACCAAATATCCTTACTTCATGACATACACGAGTGTTAAAACGACATCTAAGACATAAAGAATAATTTAACACTAGAATATCTTATCTAAAATAAATTTTGAAATGAAATTATGACTAAAAGAATGTAATCATCAAATGTTCACTGAGTGTCTACAACATTTCAGCCTCCGTCCTAGGTGCTTGAAGAGCTTATTCTTGCAGATGACGACAGACAATGAATATTACACCTAATAAAAGTAAATTATATAGGATATTAGAAGGTGATAAATGCTGTGAAAAAGCATATCTAGTGAACGGTACCAGGAGGTGGGAGGCAGATTACAATTTTAAATACTTACAAGGTAGGTCTTATTTAAAAGTTAACATCCGAGCAAAGAGTCACAGGAGGCAAGCGATTTACTCAAGCGGGTATCTGGGGAAGGACGCCCCTGGAGTAGAGGGACAGCAGGAGGCCCATGGAGCTGGAACGGAGGCACTGTGGGGGGCCGAGGGTGGTGAGGAGTTCCGCAAAGATACAGGCCAGATGAGGTAGACTCTTGAGACCATTTTAAGCCCTCCGACATTTCTCCCAATGAAATGGGGAGCCACTGATGGCTTCAGAGCAGAGGAGTGTCATGATGTGACATAGGTTCCTCTGCCTGCATTTTCAGAATGGATTTCAGTGGCAAAGAGTAGAACCAAGGAGACCATGTGAACACTGCTGCAGTACCAGCCCAACAGCAGTAGAGCTGTTGAGATGTGGCTAAATTCTGGATATATTTCGAAGGTACAGTGACTTATTTGTTAAAGAGCATGATGTATAAGGTGTGAAGATATGAGGTATGAGAGAGCGTGATGGTGAAGAATGACTCTAAGGTTACTGGCCTGAGAAACTAGAAGCATAAAATTGCCATCAACTGACAAAGGAAAGGCTGCAAGAAGGGAAGGGATGTTTTAACGGGTGTGCAGGTGGAGACAGGAATCTAGTCTGGGACATGTCCAATTTGGGAAATCTATTATACAGTGAAACAGCAATGCTGAGTAGACAATTAGATATGTGCATCTGGAGACTGGGCTGAAGTCTGGGCTGGAGATACACATTTGGGAATTCTTACCATATAGATGGTATTTGAAGCCATGAAACCAAGTTAAAACCACCAAGGGAATAATTATGGCCAAAGAAGAGAAGATGATCAAGTACTATGCCCTGGGGTCCTCCAAAAGAAGGAGGTTTGAGGAGGAGAAGAAAGCCGCCAGAGGACTGAGAAGGATGAAACGAGGAGCCTAGGACGTATATCATGCGGAGGCATGATCATCTATGCCAGATGGTGCTGCTGGAGATGCTAAAGTGACAGTTTTGGTGGAATGCTGGGGGAAAATCTGCTCAGAGTGAGTTTAAGAGATAACAGAAGGAGAAGAATTGGCAACAGTCCTTTAAAATTTTGCTGTAGAAGGGCGGAAAGAGAAGAGTGCTAGCTGGTAAGGGAAGTGGATCAAGAAAACATTTTTATATTTTAAGGTAGGAGAAGAGTTTTTTAAAAAGATGGAAATCATTCTGTAGAAAGAAAAATATTGGTGATTTAAGAAGAAGAGTGGAGACTTATTGTGGGAATATACTTGAGTAGTGCACAGGGAGAGAGGCTGGCTTTGGACCAGAACACAGATTGCTCACTGAGAGCCAAATGCAGGCCGCCACAGTGGGAGGATGTGCTCAGGCAGGCGGTCCATGTGGTGGTGGGGGGTATGGAAGTTTTTCCTCCTAAAAGGAGGATGTAAAGCAGCTAAAAGAAAGATGTGAGAGAAGGTGCTGCAGGTTTGAAAAAGTGTAAAATAGTCACTAAGGAGAGTGGAAAAGTGAAAAGACCAGGGAATACAGTGTGTTGGGGAGTTTATGGTCCTGAGTTTAAACAGAGATTGTAGTGGGGTTGTGAGACTTTCCCTGGCCATGTTTTATTACACAGATGCAGGCCTGAAATGAACGGAAGGTTGAACTTAAGAATGCTTTTATTCTGCTCATTTCCAAGCTAGTAGTGCCAGATTTCACAGTTTTTAGGACAAACTAGAAATCTGGAATTTTATACAACATATTCTGATTTTTAAATAATGACAGTTAATTCGAATAGAAACAAAATAAATTACTGTGTAGGGCAAATTAACATGACTGCAGGCTGAACCCAGTCCTTGGGCTCCTCTGCAGAGCATCTGAGAAGGGCAAGACATAGTACTAACAACAAGGATAATAATAATAACAATAATAACAGCAGCCAATGTGTTAGACATCATTCTAAGACTTACATGTAAACTCATTTAGCCCCATAATAACTCTATAGATTAATATATTTATAAACTATTTTAATGAGGAGGAAACTGAGACACTAGGAGATTAAGTGATTTGCCAATGGTTAAAGAGTTAGTAAGTGGCAAAAGTAGGATTAGAACCGATTATAATTTTCTACAACATCCCAGAAAAATTGAGTCCAGGTTGTCAAGGCTGACAATGCTGGATGAGGAGCTGAGACGAACCCTGCCTGCCCATGGGCAACGGTGACATTTCTTTAGCAAGAGTAAGAAAAAAAAAAAACAAAAACAAAAAACTTTTTTTACCAAGGGTAAAATATCAAATAAATAATTGAAGAAAATCAATTTGCCCAAAGTTAGATAGCTTCTAGGAGCAGAAAAAGAATAGAGACAGGTTAGCTGGTCCATTGCTTTAAGAGCTCAGGTGAGCCGTAATAGAGGATGAAACCAGATTTTCAGCAGCAGGAATAAAAGAAAATGATTAGATAATATTAATACACGTACATATGCTTAAATGCTTATTAGTGTTTGTTTCATATTTAGACAACACTTTCCCCATTATCATTACACAATGCTACAGAGAATGTGAACTAATAATTTAAGCAATATTTTAAAGTTTATTTTAATTTTCCATTGAACTCAATTTTACTCGTTAAAATTACCAATAAATATTGAAATTGGATATTTGTTATCTTTAAAGGGTTTATTTTTTGACAGTGAAATATGCATAAATGAATGAGCTCTAAATGTGACTAAACAAATGCTTTGTTCAGGAAGATAACGTGCACAAAGAAAAAAATTTGAAAAAGCAACTGAGAATTTATTTTTACAAACAGGTATACGACAGTGGGGCATAAAAGGTCTGGCTACAGTGGATAATTTAGCAACCTTAGGAACTAAAATTTGAAGCTTTTTGAGATGCTTAGTAAAGAGCATTATGGGATAATTTGACTGAAAACATTCAATAAATTCATTCCATAAACATTTACTAAGCTAAGCTCCATGCAAGGGCTTAGAAACAGAATAGAGTGAAGTCTCTGGCTTCACAGTCTAGTTGGAAAGAGTGATAGTAAAAATATAGCGTGGTAAAAATTGCAACATAGCGTGGTAAAAATCACAGAAGAGCAAATAGGTTAAGAAACAGAACAAAGGAGACGACTCTGTCCCTATGACCAGAATTGACTACACAAAGGATGAAGTGCTTGAACAGGTTCTTAAAGAATGGGAACCAAAGGACAAGTAGAATCTTAAAATAAGATCCTGTAGCCAAAGGCAAAGGAATAATATTTTAAAGTTTAAGACTATTTTATCTTTATTGGCTCTGATCCTAACCAGCTGTATGGCCTTGGGCAAGCCACTTAACCTCCCCGGGTCTTACCCTTACATCTGTAAAGTGAGAGAGCTGAGCAAATAAAGTTCAAGATTTCTTCCAGCTCTTTATTTTACTTAGTCTGTGAATTTATATACACCTCTGAGAACCTTGGGCTACATCCTAAAAAGTGTATTACTATTATCAAATAAGTCAGGCCAGACAAAGGGGCTTTAGAGCAAAAAGATACCAGGCCTGCTCCACACCAGGCCTCCATACCAGGCCTCCTCTCACATCTTGCCAGGGCTTGGCTGCAGGCTAAGGAGAAATAATGATGAATCAGACCCTGCCGCCTTACTAGTCCTGCCTGCTCACCCACTCCTTCCTTCATACTCTTTCCATACTATACGACCCAGCAATTTTACCTCTAGGTATAGTATATAAGCCAAAGAAGTGAAAGCAGGGGCTCACATAGATACTTGTACATAAATATTCACAGCAGCATTACTCACAATAGCCCAAAGGTAGAAACAACCCAAATGTCCTTCAACAGGTGAATGGAAAACAAAATGTGGTATGTATAAAAAAAATGGAATGTCACACAGCCTTAAAAAGGAATGAAATTCTGATATATGCTACAAGGTAGATGAATCCTGAAAATATTATGCTAAGTAAAATAAACCAGACACAAAAGGACAAATATTGTATGATTCCACTCAAATGAGGTGCCTAGAGTAAACTCATAGAAAGTAGAATTAGAGGCTAACAGGGGCCAGGTGGGGTGGAAGAATGGGGAGTTATTGTTTAATGGATACAGAGTTTCAGCGTGAGATGATTTTTTTTAAAGTTCTAGAAAAAGGTAACAAGAAGGATTTGGTTGTACAACATTGTGAATATAATTAAGGCCACTGAATTGTACACTTAAATACGATTAAAATAATACATTTTATGTTATTTATACACACACACACACACACACACACATATACACACACACACACACACACACACAGATTTAACCGTAATTTTAAAACTATGCACAAGTCCCTTAAAAAACAAAAAACTATGCAGATTCTGTTACCTGACACAGACTATGCTCTCTCCCACTACCATACTTTAGCACATTCACCTCCTCTGCCTGGCAACCCTCCCCTCCCCTCCCCCACCCCCCTAGTTTTGTGGGTTACACTTGCTCACTAAAGACACAGTTCGGGCGTCTCCAACTAGAGCAAAGACAGGCTGGGTCAGTTATCTGGTTGGTGACCTCACATTTAAGTTCCCATGGCGACATGCTTTTTATCCTTCTATTATAACATTTCTCTCACAGTATTAATATTTAGTTTTCTCTTTTTCCCTGCCAGATTGCTCACCCATTTAAAAAAAAGAGCCGTGTCTTTTATTTCTGAATAGATGCAGTGAAGTTAAGAACACAGGCACTTGCATCAGAATGCTTAAGTTCAAATTCTAGCTTTGCTTCCTACTAGCTACATCTCTTAGGTAAATTACCTAAGCATTCTGTGCCTCAGTTTTCCACTCTGTAATATGAGAATGATATTAATGCCTATCTCATAACATTATAGGGGGGATTAGATGAATTATTCCATATAAAGTGGTTAGAAAATTGTCTGGATACATACTAAGTACTTGCAATTATTAGCTATAATAATAATGTTAATTTGTCTATTTTTTATTATATTATTAATTTCAGGTTTAGCATAGAGGCCTGGCATACAATAGGTACTGCATAAACACTTTCTGGATGTATGCCATGAATGAGTGAAGTTCTGAACAAGTGGAATTCTGATCCCAGATAGCTCAAAGATTTGTGGGGGAGACCTATCTCCACAGTAAAATATAATGTGATGGGGCGATATATAAATGAAGCACTCTGGGAAAAGACACTGGAGAAGACTTCAAAGAGAAAATTTAAATTGAGTTTGGAAGAACTAAATGTTTCCCAAGTAAAGGGTTGAGAGTCTTATATTTCAAGTACATGTGTTCAATACATATTTATTGGTCAACTAGTTTGTTCTAGATACCAGGTGAATTTCTAAGGATACAGTGGTGAACAAAAAACCATCCTTAGGCTGTTGCAGAGAAAACAGTACACACAAGAATCAAAGACATGAGGAGAAAGAGGATGAGTTTGGTTTATTAAGGCAGTTGTAAAGGAAGAAACAGGTGGGAGATGACGCTGATCAGGAATATTCTTTAGGTTGAAAAAAAGCCCCAAATTTTATATTTATTTTAAATATTAAATAAAATAGGTATTAAAACACTTATATAACACTTATCATTAGGTTGAAATGAAATTGCCACTTGTATAGGTCACAATGATAGAAAAAAAATCAACAATTTCATATAGCTCAACCTATTATCTACCAAACCCTAAATGCTTTACAAATATAAACTCATCTAACTAGTTGGAATGGATTCTGTAGGTAACGAGGAAGAAACAAATTATTTTGACACTAGATCTTACCAAAAGGCCAGGAGCACAAACAATTTTTGGAATAATAAATGAAGTGATCTGAATTGTTTTAATATTAATATCTACAACACCTATAATTTACATGAAACCTTTCTGTGTATTGAGCCCTCTACACATGTATAAGCATACTTACGTGTATGTGTATGACACATAAAGACTCACACACACAGTCACCTCTAATTCTTACATTGGTTCTGCAGGTCCAGTCTTAGTCTCCACATATTACTGAGGGTGATGCTGAGGTTGAAAGACAGGTGAGACAGATAAAGTTCACTTGGGCAGTGAGGAAGGGAATCTGAATTCTCCCAATCAAAATCTCTTTCTACCTCACTGTGCTGCCTGCTCTATAAGGTTAGCTCTGAAGGTGGCACGAAAGATAGAGAGATGATCCTCAACTAGAATTTGGCTAACTCAACAACTCTGAGATGAGACAAAATGCTTGTTCGTATGCTGATTTTATGTTTCTAGGATAAAGTACATGATTCATTAAAATGGTATATTCAGAATCTCAGACTTCAGATTTCATCAGGCTATATTTTTAACTTGCCATAAACAATAGGGTAATATATTCTTATGCTGAAAGGTATGAACAGTCAGTAGAGATGCAGCTCAGCTTCTCCTCTTCCCAGTTTAACAGTGGGAAAACAGAACCCAAAATGTTAAAAGATCTGCTTAGAAAATGTTGTTAGGGCTAGAACCAGGTCTGCTGACATTTCAAAGAGTCTAATCCCTTACTGCTCTGCTTGTGCCAGCTTTCCAACATAGTGAATAAATTAAACCAAAGTAGGGTATAAACCAATTGAAACCCATAAACTAAAATAAATAATTGTATTAAGCAGATATATTGCTCTGTATCTCCCTGGAAACTCTCTAGACTTCTATACTCAGAGAATAAAATTCAGTTGACAGCACTCTCTTCGTACTTGAGGGATTCATGGAGAACTGGTTCATTATCTGCTATAATGGGGTTTTCCATCATTAAGAGCATTATTGAAGGGTGTCAGTGTATTTGCTTTAAGAATGGTGAGAAATTTTAAAACCTTAATAAATGGCATAATTGAAAACAAATACCTTGGTCTTGTATTATACAATCTGTAGTGACCAGGGGAGGGATCTGGCCTCTGGTGTTGGTGGCATAAACTTGTCCTCCTCTGCTGGCTCTATCATTCTCAATCACCTGAATCTGATAAATAAGACATCAAGAGCCAGTTAAAGTAGGTTCAGACTCTTCCCAACATTCCATTTAGAGAGTACCCTTGCTCTCTCCTCCCTCCCTTTCCCCTCCCGCTCAATATTCACATGCACAGACACACACACACACACACACACACACACACACAGTCTCACACATTCACACAAACTGGCATTTTCTAAATCCTTTCAGTTCATTTCAGATCAACTTGTCATGGAAAAACCTACTGTGTCTTCAGTTAAAATGGTTACAACTTTAGAAAAGTAGTTTCCAATTCTATTCTGTAATTTTTTAAGCTTCAGACCTGACAACGTGACCCTTCGGAGAACTTTGTTTTTCTATCTAATTTGTTTATTAGGAACATAGGTAAGCATTTTCTTTTCTTTTCTGTTTTTTCATTTTTTGAGATGTGGTCTCACTCTGTCACCAAGGCTGGAGTGCTGTGATGCAATCACGGCTCACTGCAGCCTTGACCTCCCTGACTCAAGCCATTCCAAGTAGCTGAGACCACAGGTGGGTGCTACCACAACTGGCTAATTTCTTTTCTTCATTTTTTTGTAGAGACAGGATCTCCTTGCCCTATGTTACCTATGCTGGTCTCAAACTCCGGGGCTCAAGCAATCCTGCTGCCTTGGCCTCTCAAAATGTTGGTGTCAAAGGTGTTAGCCACTACACCTGGCCAGCATTTTCTTTAAAAAAAATATATGATAAGAAAAGAAATTGAAAACAAATATTTAAAGGAAATACTGGCTTAGCACAATGGCTCACACCTGTAATCCCAGCACTGTGGAGGGCCAAGGTGGGAGGACCACCTGAGCTCAGGAGTTCAAGAACAGCCTGGGCAACAGAGTGAGGCCTCATCTTTACTAAAAAGGTTTAAAAAATTATCCATGAGGTAGGAGGATTGCTTATGCTCAGGAGTTCAAGGCTGGAATAAGCTTTGATCATGCCAGGGCATTCTAGCCTGGGCGACAGAGCAAGGTCCTATCTCAAAATAAATAAATGAACACTTTTTTAAGTAAAAGAAACTTTCAAAAGGCTAAAAATTATCTCAGAAGAGATGATTTATAATATACAACCTATAAAAACCTTAACTTTCTCCTCAAATGCCTTTTGATCTTCAATTTGCTTTTCAAATTTCCCCAACTGAATCTCTGGCTCCTTGAGATATAAGACACAAACAGTAAAGCAATCCCATGTGGTTTTGCCCACTGTTGAGAAGTCAACAGGAGCAAAAGTTTCTTATGTTCTGTCATCTAATGTGGAAACATCTGCTATTTCTCTACTAAAAACAATTCTTACTGATGAAGAATATAAGAGATACAAAATGTCTCTCTGTCCTATTTAGGGATGAAAATTATGAGCAAAATCTAGTAATATGGAGTAAAAAGAGAACAAGAAAAAATCCTAATAATTATCTTTTCCTCTTTATCTTCTCCTTTCCCTTATTTCTTTCTTTATAGGCGAAACAAGGAGGAATAAAAAGAAAAAACATGGAGGGGATGTAATAAGAGGAAAAAAAAATGGAGAAACAGGAAGTGTGTCCAGACTGGAATAGCAGGTCCAAACTGCACCTAAGGATGCAGTTTTTAATATTCCTAAAACCATTAGCAAAATGAAAACTGCCTTCTACCAAACTCTGAAAGGTTGCTTTCTCTAATCTTCCCTCCCATTCCATCCAATCCAGCCCCCAGCTGGTATTGACAACATTGGTTTTATGAAATGTTGATGACAGATTTAGCCTGCCCTTAAGTCTATAGATCTTCCCTCCTAATTTCTTAGGATGTGAATTGTTATTAGATTAAAATATAAAATGGCTCCAAATATAACAGCTGTCAGACACAGATAAGCCTAAAGCTACCATGAGCGGAGACTAGAAGCAGAGAAACTTTAACACTATAATTATATTCTGTATTTTGACCACAAGGTTAATCGGATTCACTAAAATCAGAGTTGTTTTTTATTTTTTATATTTTTGAGACAAGGTCTTGCTCTGATGCCCAGGCTAAAGTACAGTGGCGTGAAGAGGGCTCACTGCAGCCTCAAACTCCTGGGCACAAACCATTCTCTTGTCACAGCCTCCTGAATAGCTGGGATTACAGGTGTGCACTACTATGCTGAGTTAATTTTTTAAATTTTTTGTAGATAGGGTCTAATTTTGTTGTCCAGGCTTGTCTCAAATTCTTGGGCTCAAGCTTTCCTTCTACCTTAGCCACCAAAAGTGTTGGGATTATAGGCGTGAGCCATTGCACCTGGCCTAGAGTCATTTTTATATTTTTCAATATTTATTACAATCATTTCAACGAACAAAGAGTCAAATATGAAAGTGAGGTAAAAGCCATGAATATGTATTAGTGTGCATATTGAACATATTGAACATAGCCTTTAATCAACTATATTTCCAAAAAGTTAATTTTTAAATCATCCATTTGCAATTTACAAAACCCTGCTTCCAAAGAAACAGTGTTATCAGTAGTAATTATATTTCTAAATTAATTCAGATCTTGGATGAAATACTATAAAGACTAGGAGATATTAAAGTATTTCTGATAATTGCTAAAAAAATACTACACCTATTTTATTTACCTCAAGTGCATATTCTTGAAAAGCAGGCTTAGAGATAAAATAAACAAGCTTCAACAGCAATTTTGACTGTGACTCGGTACTTGAAGGGTTTAGATTTAATGACAGTGATTTTGATAATTCCAAAACTACTTCAAAAGGCATAGATTTATTTTCCCTTCAGAAGATGCGCTGCTAGAATTACGATTATACTTATCAGCTATGAATGGAGCATTCTGGGTTCATAAAGCAGAATTGGAAAAGAGAAAAAAAAGGAAGTGATTCTCTTGAGATAAATGAGCGAGAATAAGGGAAAAATAAGAGGATGTGTGTGCCAGACAAAAAAGGCTACTTAGCAGAATTGTGAATTTTGGAGAGGTAAGATAAAATGGAGTAGAAAGTACCCAACTTTGGAATAATCCTCTTATGGACACAGGAAGGGAGGGAGAAAGAGTTTTCATGATGATAAGTTTCCTTACTTTTAAAATTTGTCTAAAACTATCACCCAAAAATGTAATAAGCACCTGGCTCAGGACTGAAGTATAGCAGAAGCTCAGTAAATGTGACTTTACATCTTTCTTTCCAGAAGGAAAAATTTTGTTAGCAAAAGCACGTTACTTTGGTAATAGGAGCATAAACAGGTTCCATCTGATATCACTATTTAATTACTTTTAAAATAAAAACAAACACTGGACTGATTTGTCTATATGTATTATAAGGGTCCTGGATGAGTCACAGCATCTACTCCTTCTTGCTTTTGTTGCCCATTCATTCAAGGAATACATGGACATATATACTATGTATCAGTTCTGTTCTAAGTGTTACAAACACAGCAGTGAACAAAACCAAATCCTTGCCCTCATGGAGTGGACATTCTAGTGTGGACGACAGGTAATAAGTAAACAAATGTACAAATAACACACCTGACATCAGGCAGTAATCAGTGCTGTGGATATGGAGTGAAATGGATGGGGTGCTAGGGAGACTGAGGATGACCAATGAGGACATTAAGGAAATGAGGACATGAGCTGTGACCTGCATACACTTAGGGGAAAAGCATCTACGCATAATAAATATCAAGTGCAAAGACCTTGAGGCAGGGGCATAGAAGGGAGGTGTTGTTGAGTCAAAGGGTGTGGGGAAGAGTGGTAAAAGACCAAGTCAGAAGTAGGGGTGTGTGTGTGTGTGTGTGTGTGTGTGTGTGTGTGTGTGTGTGTGCGCGTGCGCGCGCAGGTGTAGGGGAGCCAGGGGTGGCAAATAATGTAGGGTCCTGCAGACTATTGTAAGAACTTTGGTTTTTAACTAGAGTATTGACTTTCTAAGCCATGACATGATGTGACTTAGAATTCAAATGGATGACTCTGGCTACTCTGTGTAGACTAAAAGGGTAGGGAGACCAATTAGGAGGCTCTTAGAAGAACCTAGGTAGGTAGATAGTAGAGGCTTGGAACAGGATGAATAGACAAGGTGGGACCAAGAGAATTAGCAAAAGAACTAAATGTGAGATGTGCAAGAAAGGAAGAATCAGAGATGACTCCTAGGTTTTTGGCCTGAGGAGCTAGAAGAATGGAATTGGATCTGGATTTCAGGAAAAAGGTCTTTACTAGGAATATCTGCATTCTCATTCAAAGCCATGAGAATGAATGGGATTACCTAGAGTGGTGCTTTGCGTACTTCAGTGTGCCTAAGAATCATCTGAAGAGCTTGTTCAAATACAGATTCCAGGGTCTTACCCTTAAGAGATTCTGATTCCTAACTTTGGGCTGAGGCTTGAGAACATGAATTTTTAATAAGCTCCCAGCTGATGTTGATGGTGCTGTCCTGGGAGCACATTTTGAGAAGTGTTGATCCAGAGAGTAAATGTCAATGGAGAAAGGGACAGGTCCAAAGACTAAGTCTTAGAACACTTCTAACACTAGGTGATAGAGAGATGGGGAGATATCAACAAAGGAGACAGGGCCTCCAGTGGGGTAGGCAGAGATGTAACCAAATGGGCGGAATCCCACAAGCCAAATGTAAAAGTTTTGTTTCAAGGAGAATGGAGTAAACAGATGTGTCAAATTGCTGCTGATGTCAAGTCACATGAAAGCTGAGAATAGACCATTAGATTTGGTAACAGGAAGTCATTGGTAACTGGACTAGCACAGTATTTTGGGGTTGTGGTGATAAAATCTAAGCTGGAATAGGATCAGGAGAGAGTGGGAGGAGATGAACTGAAAACAGCGGATATAGGCAACTCTTTGGGAGATTTCTTGCTATAAAAGCAAGCCAAGAGATGGGAGGAAACTGAATCCAGGTTTGGGGAGAGGCCAAGGAAAGCTTCTTCTATTAATGATGGGAGGCATCATAGGATATTTATATTATGACAAGAGTGATCGAGACAGAGAAAAAATTAAGTTCATTTTCAAAGAAGTATAGATGATGCAAGAGAAAGGGGATGTGATAGTTAATTTCATGTGTCAACTTGGCGAGGCCATTTTTAGGACAAACACCAGTCTCAGTCTAGATGGCACTGTGAAGGTGCTGTTAAAGTATTTTTAAGATCTAATTAACATTTAAACAGGCAGACTTTGAGTAAAGCAGATTACCTTCCATAATGTGGGTGGGACTCAACTAATCAGCTGACAGCCTTAGGAGAAAAAGGCAGGTTCTCTGAGAAAGAGGAAAAGTCTGCCTCCAGATGCCTTTAAACTAGAGCTGCAATATCAGCTCCTCCCTAGGTCTCCAGCCTGCTGTCCTAACTGTCCTATTCTGTTCCCGTAACCAAGTAAAACCGTTAATTAAAATAAATCTCCCTCCCTCTTTTAAGCCATAAAAGCAATGACTGGCAATATGATTATCAATAAAGACAATAAGAATCGTCAAAATTTAATTTCTAACATGTTATAGCAGTAGGTAGTATTACAAATCTTCAACTTCGAATTCAAATAAATATAAAGTGACAGATTACAAAAATAGCCAACATTATCTACACTTCCCTGTATCAATTCTCTTTTCAACCTTGCCTTGCCCCTCCTCCTATCAAGAGGCAAAGTCCATTTTCTTACTCCTGAGGCAGTCTTGTGACTTGCTTTGGCCGAGACAATGTAGCGGAAGTAGTGATGTGCCAGTTCCAAGCCTAAGGTTCAAAACGCCATGCACACTCCTACCTTCCCTCTTGGATGTCTGCCACCCCATGAACAAACCCAGTGTACTCTGCTTGACAACATGGCCTGGTCATCCCCCATCAACAGATGAATACCAAACACAAGATACACAAATGACACTATGATGGGCAGAGCAGTGGCCCTCAGCAAGATATGTCCATGTCCTAATCTCTGAAATCTGTGAATATTACTGATACAGAAGGCAGGCAGGGAAGTGCTGGGTAGAGAAAAGCAGTTCCCTGTCTAGGGCTCTATACCCATGGACCTAGGTGAGGACAGGCACTCCTATTTTCCCCCAAATGTTGCATTTTTCAAGACCACCCTGGCCCATCACACCCTTATCCTGGGCTTATAAAAACCCAAATCCCTAATGTGCAGGCACACAGGCAGCCAGATGTGCAGGGGAGCACATCAGTGGATAAAGATACAAGTGGTTGGATGGGAAGAGGATGTTGAGGGAGCATGCCAGTGGAAGAGCACACTGACAGACACCAGCACACTGGCAGGCCATCCATGGGCGGGCCAAGGCAGAGTTTGGTCAGGGCAGTCAGAGGAGAGCCTGGGCCACTCAGTGGCAGGACTCCAGGAGAAAACCGTCTCCCTCTGGCTCCCCCATCTGCTGAGCGCTGCTTCTACTGAATAAAACCTTGGACTCATTCTCCAAGCCCACATGTGATCCAATTCTTCCAGTACATCAAGGAAAAAACCTGGGATACAGAAATCCCTCTGTCCTTGTGATAAGGAAGGGGTCTAATTGAGCTGGTTAACACAAGTCGCCTACAGACAGCAAACTAAAAGAGCACCCTGTAACACACGTCCACCGGGGCTTCAGGAGCTGTAAACATTCACCCCTAGACACTGTCATGGGAGCCAGAGCCCCACAGCCTGCCTGTCTGTATGGTCCCCTAGAGGTTTGGGCAGCAGGGCACTGAAGAAGTCAGCCACACTCTCACTGCATGCCCTGCGAGGGGCACAAGGGAACCTTTCCCATTTCATCACCTCATATGGCAAAAGAATTTTATGACATTAAGGATCTTGAGAGAAGAAGCTTATCCTGGCCCTGCATGGAATCACATGTATAAGGAAAGAAGCAGAGCAATTTTGAAACAGACACTCAGAGAAGAAGACACAAAGAGGAGGAGGATGCAATGTGACCACAAAAGCAGAGACTGGAGTCACATGGTCACAAGCCAAGGAAAACCTGGAGCCACCAGAAGCTGAAAAAGCCTAGGAAAAGATTCTCCTCCACAGCCTTCAGAGGCAGCACAGCCCTGCTTAGTGTGTTTTTCATTGCTTATAACAGAACATCTGGAATAGTCATTTGTAAAGAAAAGACATTTATTTCTTATAGTTATGGAGGCTAAGAAGTCCCAGGCTGATGGGCCACATCTGCTGAAAGCCTTTTTCCAGGTGGAGGCTCTACAGAATCCCAAAGCGTCACAGCATGACATGGCGAGGGGGCTGAGTGTGCCAGCTCAGGTATCTCTTCCTCTTATTATAAGGCCACCAGTTCCACTCCCATGATAACCCATTAATCCATTAACCCACTAATCCATGAATGGATTAATCTATTCACCAGGGCAGGACCCTCATGACCCAATCATCTCTGAATACTGCCACACTGAAGATTAAGTTTCAACATGCGTTTTGGAGAAGACAAATATTCAAACCATAGCACTTGCCAACACTTTGATTTTGGACTTTTGGCCCCCAGAACTGTGAGAGAATAAATTTCTGTTGTTTTAAGTCACCTAATTTGTGGTAATTTGTTATAGCAGCCGCAGGAAACTAATACATTATCCTAAACCATCCATACCCCAGCCAAGCCTCCAGCTGACCCCAGATGCATGAGCAAGCCCAGCCCAAACCAGGTGAGCCTGGCCCAAATTACCAAAAATGCTCAGGGAATCCACTGACTCATGAATATTAAGATAGTAGTAGTGCTAAGCTACTGAGCTAATATGGTAGCTTTCCGTGCTCCTTAGTTTATTTCTAACTTCTTCTGCTTATATTTATAGAACCTATTCAAAGACCCAAAATTAACTGTAGCCAATTTCATTATTATTCTGAAAGGATTTTATATCCCAGTGCCACAAGATTGGCAGCTTCCCTGCCCCACTGACATTGAGCTTTGTTTTATGACTTGCTTCAGCCAAGGGCACATGAGTGGAAGCTTTAAGAGCTGTTGCATGTTTTGGCCAGCTCTCTTTCTTTCCTCCCTCTGCCAAAAAAAAGCATGTCCTCAGTAGTAGGTGCCTCTTCACTCTGGATTCTGGAATAAGGATGAAGCAGAGCCCAAAGCCAATCTGCAGCCGTTGCAGCCTACATGTAAACTAAGTGACAAATGCATCTTTGCAGTTGTAAGCAAAGTTGGGGATTGTTTGCTATGCAGAATAACCTTATAAAGCTGACTAATACAATTATTAAAGAGTAACCCTTCAAAGAAGTCACTTGAGTGAAGAGTTTAGTTCTCACTTTACATAAAACAATTTTATTTTTTAATGTGCAAGATGCAAAATATACCTTCAGTCTCTATGGGTTTCTCTTATTGAAAAGGATCCTTTATCTAAAATAGCATGCTTATATAGGATATAGTCTTACTGTTAATTACTCATTAGATAGCAATAGATACTGCCAAAATATGTATATAAACATTATAGACACTGCCAAGTTTATATGACACCAAAAAAAAAATCTATATAGGCTGCTTTTTCATGGAGACCTTTAGTATGCCCATAACCCGAGCATGCCTTCCCCCATACACACATATAAGGAAGGGAAGCTTTCTCTCTATGTGATGAGTATCTCCTAACTTCTATGATAATGAATAGGATAAATGCTAACAAACTGAAGAGGTGCTGAGAACAATGAATGCTCCTCTGTGAGTGAGACTGTGAGAGTGAAAAGAGCACTTACTGGGCTAGGGATAGAGTCAGGATCCAGCTTCTTCTGGGGCTGTGGTGGACCAGCCATCTGTGCAGGACCTCCAGGGAAGCCTCCTGGGTAAGAGAGCTGTGTGCCTGCCATCTGGGGGCCAGAGTTGGCTGCTTGGAAAAAAATTTAAAGAGAAATGACTATCATCTCAAATCCGGCATGTAAGATTTGTTGACAATATCATGCTGTTCAGTCAATCATGTTGTATTTTTCATCTTATTTAAAAAGGCAGGCTGTCAAGTATGAATGTGGTTTCCCCATTTCTTTGCTCTTGCCACACTCTTCAAAAACTACCGTTTTTTAAAAGTAAGTGACAGAGACCTAGTAACATAGGAACAAAGTTGATTTTCAATTAAGGGTTCCCCTGGGTAACCCAAAGCCTTCCCCTGAACCCTGCCTGCCTTACCCTGCTGTGGAGGATATCCAGCGCCCAGGGTCTGGCCTGGAAGAGGCGGGGACTGGTACTGGGCATTTGAAGGAGGAGGTCCAGTGAGCCCATCTGGCCTGTACATTGGTGGAGGCAAAGGTGAAGCACCAGGACCATTGAGTGTGGTGGGTGGTGGTGGAAGAACCTGAGATCCAGGCTGCAAAATGGATGGCTGTGGAGGTTGTGGAGGAGTCTGGAATGACGTGGCTGACAGAGGGCCAGGGGGTCCCTGGCTTGGAGGAGCCATGCCTGAACCTGTGTGAGAAAGAAGATCAGCCTACTTAAATACCACATTTCTCAACTCTCTGACTTCCGCAAAGTACATGACAGAGATGCTTGCTTTTCTGACATAAAGCTAGAGGATACCCTTAGAAATCCATATTTGGGTTTTTTGCCAGAAATTGAAATCTTCATTCAGAAAATAGAACAAATGCTATTTTATACAATGGGATTATTTTTTTAAGATAGGGTCTTGCTCTGTCACTGAGGCTGCAGTGCAATGGCAAGATAATGGATCACTGTAGCCTTAACATCCTGAACAAAGTGATCATTCCACCTCAGCCTCCCAAGTAACTGAGACTACAAGAGCACACCACTACACCAAGTTCTTTTTTTCTTTTCTCTTCCTTTTTTTTATTTTTATTTTTTAATATAGAGAAGTGGTGTCATGATATTGCTCAGGCTGGTCTCAAACTCCTGGGCTCTAGGAACCTAGCAATATTTCCCCCTTGGCTTCCCAAAGTGCTGGGATTATAGGTGTGAGCCACCAGGCCTGGCCTGGAAATTTTTGAAAGGTAAAATCAGTACTTCTAATTTAAGTGAGAGAATTCATAGAATAAATTTTAACTCAGTTGTGTAATTACATAATTTATGCGATAATTAAAGCATCTGTATCTGGTACAAAATCTAGAAAATTATATAAAAATTTCATTACATAATAAGTATTACTCAGGTAAATTATACATTCAATAAATTATTTGCATCCTGTGTGTGACTTGACCAAACAAATTTCAGAATTAGGTTGAAATAACCAGAGAGGAGGGAAGGGCCAATAACATGCTCTTCAATCATATTGGAAACTGCTGTAAAACCAGATTATGTCTTCCCTTCTCTGATCATGGGAAATTGGGTTGCTTCTTTGGAGACTTTTCCCTTTTAAAATTGGTAAAAGACAGAAAATATTCTGAGGGGTTTTAATGATACTTCAAAAAACTAATTTTAAGTAACATGGAAACATTCTTCATCTAGATAAATGGCTGACTGTGCTGTCATTGCAGTGGATATTTCTATGACTCGTAGGATATACAGCATTTTTGTTGATGTAAATCTCAGTACTGTGACTCTTTCCTTTCCTGTTCTTCTCTTTTCTGCCTCACAACATCTGAGCTTCCATTCTTTCCATGATCTAAACACATAATTAAAATGTACTGTGAAACAATGAGTACTATATTTCTGATTTTGAGTCCCCATCATAAACAATACAAGGTTAAACTTTATTTCCTAAAATAATTTCACTGTTCTAATGTTTATTTGTTAAGTCAGCATATTTTATTTCACTGTTTGATCATTGAATGGAAGGTATTCTGAGGGTCCTTCAATTACCTTGAAATAAGTGGCAGCATGATCAAGAAAACAACTATAGCAATACATAATATAGATGCTTTATATTAAAATGTCCAAATACTACTTCGATACAGTATGCCCTAGTCATGTCTATTTTAAAAATGAAGAAAACCTCTCTCATTAAAAATAACCAGCACGCAAGGCAGTCAATAAACACTAATAATAAAACTATTACCATAGCTGTTAATTTGCATAGCACTGAGCTGGCTGCCCATCTGGGTGACAGATGAAGTGGACATAGAATTTGGATAAGATGATTGTGCAGAGGGTTGGTATGGTGCATATGAGGATGCCACATTGTTGACAGGTGGAGGGCCTGAAAATCTGAGAAAAACAGGATGTTAATATCATAGCATCTCAAGCAAATGACATACAACAATATTAACAGCTTGTAAAATTAAATAGGCCTGTCTAGTGGGCCTAGGAAAATGACTGATATTATATACTCAATCTTTAATTAAGCTTGACGTGAGCTTAATACGTTCATGCAGCATCATCTTATATTTATGCTCACATGCTGAACATGCCAAGAAAGAAAAAAAATTCTAATGTGAGCATAAAACCAGTTCTGGAAATCAATTTCGGAAACTAAGCCCACCACAGCCTTATCTATACTAAAGTTAATGATCAACAGAACGAAAACCAAGAAAACAATATAGCCAGGAGCAGTGGCTCATGCTTATTATTCTAGCACTTTGGGGAGCTGAAGTGGGAGGACAACCTGAGCCCAGGAATTCAAGACCAGCCTGGGCAGCATAGTGAGACCCTGTCTCTACAAAATAAAAAAATAAATAAAAAATTAGCCAGGAGTGGTGGCACTATTTGGGTGGTTGAGGTGAGAGGATCACTTGAGCCCAGTAGGTCAAGGCTACAGTGAGCCGAGACCGCGCTACTGTGCTCTAGCCTGGGCAACAGAGCCAGATGCTGTCTCAAAGAAAAAGAAAAATCTAAAAGTTACATCATGCTTTACCTTTGATTTAGCTTGAACTTGTTAGATGTTTATTTTTTCTTGTTCTGCATTAAACAATGACCACCATCTGGACAGTGTACCTAGTATGGTTAGTCTGCCAAATGAGATTAAAGCCTGCCTGAAAGTCACATTACAAATTCTTATAAATTTCAAATTTTAAATAAAATTAAATTTTCCCAAATGGTATACTCTGATTTCAATTTCTCTATCTGTAAACCAGAAACTGTTTTCCTATGGCCCATGTCTTGCCTTCTGCCCCCTACTGCCATTGAGAGGTTAGAAACACAGCCTGAGGGAGTCCACTGCTTGCCTGAAGTCCTACAATTTATTTGTAACAACACTAAGACCAGCATTTTTCCAGGTCTTCAGTGAGTACAACTTTTTGTTTTTTTATGACTGTTAATATTTTTAAAATATGCAATTCTGTGAATCTTTTTTTTTTAACAATATAGAAAATACAGGTAGGACAAAATATATTTTAAACAGGAGTTTCAACACAAGCAGCTTCAAGTATTTTTTTAAACATAGCAAAGGTTAAGGATTTGAAATAGAGAATGAGAGACTGTATAACCATCAGCCACTACTTTCAACCCCTAAGTGCCTACTTATCATTCAGTGCCTAACATATACCCCAGGGATTAGGTTTCAGAAATTCACAAATAAATTATTTCTTCTGACCAACTTAAATATGGTGAGTATTACATAGATTCTGTTTTTAAACACAATTATTATCAATTTAAAAATAAAATAGTATTAAATGGCTAACAAAACTCTCGCATAAATGAGAAAAAAGAGATGAAGGAACATCTTAAACATACAAATTGGTTTAATATTCAATTTCATTACTTTGTTCAAAGTCACATAGCATGTTGTACAAAGCTGGGTCCTCCTGTCCTCGTGTAGAAACCTAGTGTGTGCCTATAGGTAAGCCACTTAACCTCTGTAGCTCTCAGCTTTCAGATTCTAAAAATGAGTGAGTGAAAAGGAACGATCCTCTTTTTTTTGCTATAAATATAATGTAGTTAAAATTAAGAACCATAAATAAATATTCCTCATGTTGACTGCCTTTATTTAACATGGCTCTGGACTGAAAAACATTCAATTATATATTTTAATTTACAGTTTTATTGAATGTCAATTACATATTTTAATTTACTGTTTCACTGAATGTCAGAGAAGGGCAGATTCTCCAGCAGAAAGGAGTCTATGAAGAATCACCACCAGATGATTAATAAAACATGAAAATTTAGCCTCAATTTAATCCTGATCCTCTGTAGAGCTGGCTCAGTTTTCTGTGCCCTGTTCAACTTCAAATATTCCCTATTTTCAAGTTTGCAACAAATTGCTCAAGAAATGAGATATATGCTGAAGTTTGTATGCGGAGATAAGATGCCAAATTTGTAATGATTTGATTGAAACAAAATCTGAATTTTGAATACCTACCCCATAGATAGAAAAAATAAAAGTTCCACCAAATTCTAGCATCATTTTGTACATTAAATAAAATTGAAGAAAAAACAACTACTTCTCTTATTTTTATTGTTCCTTGCTTCAACTTTTGTTAAAATCAAGTAGACTCACACATATTAGCTTCAATTTGGGAAGATGGGTCCCCTGTTCCCTCTAATTCACTGTTTCTTCATCAGAATACATCACTTAAAATTGATTGATTAAATTTTTCCTTATAATTAAAAAAATTGATATTTAGGTTGCAGATTTTATTTAATATCCTACCCAGTAGTAACTCTATATACATAACTTTAGTACTGCTCGAAAGTTTAAGACGTTTATTATTCCTCAGTCAAATCAAAACAACAAATAACTTGGTACGATTTTTAAATTTTATAAAACATTATCTTTAAAATAGCAGTATTTTGAAAATAAAAATTTTACATGTTAAATTCAAATCAACATAGTAACTCATTTATATTTCGGGTTTTATTTGATAATTTAGATACAGTAAAATTAAAATATTTCTTTTATTGGTATACTAAGTACAAATGACACAAATGAAATGCTAGAATCCACAAAGAACAGTCATATGCCATTTTTGCTCTTTGACGGCCTCTGTCATCATCAAACTGGTGTGATTCACCTGCACAATCACGGCGCACTTTACCATTGCATTGCACTACATTCACAGAAGCATGTCCCATGAGGGCAAGGCAGCATGGTAACCAGGAAGGCTGAGCCTGAAATACTATAATTTTCCCTGACTTTTTCATTTTTTAACCCTAATTCTACTTTAATCCAGTATGCAAGTTGTAGCAAGTGAACAGTAGAAGAGAGGGAGAAAAATCTGTCAGTACTTCCCTAGGAATCACCATAAAAGCAGATTCTTAAAGCTGTCATGAGATTCTTGAGCTGTCCTAAGTAATTAGAATTGAGTTCTAGGGACAGACAAGCTATAAACAGTGGACTTTTCAGATCCAATGGAAATGATATTGACAACTGCTAAGATGTTGAGTCCATGGGCACTGTGCACTGTGTAAGGTACTCTGCATGCATTAATCATTAAAATCCTCACAACCACATATTGTTGTTACAATTGTCATGAGTAAACCAAGGCACATAGAGGTTAGGTAATTATCTAGCTAGTAACTGTTGGGCCAACATTAGCAAATGTCCTGACTCTAGAGTCCTCTGCCCTTCTCTGGGCCAGACCCTGTTCTGAGCTCACAATCACAAAGTTAGGGCCTGTTTGATGGCAAAGTCCATGGTTTACTTATTCCTAAGCAACCTGATCAAGTGAAATAAATGGCTATAAACCAAAAAGATCAATCAATTCCAGGCTAATACCAGTGACCAAAACATTTTTCTAAACTTGAAACCAGCTGTTCAATCTTTGTATTTCTTTCTATTTATTTTTTTTTTTCTTTCTGCCTTGAGACAGGGTTGCCCTGGGCTCAAGCAATCCTCCTACCTCAGCCTCTCAAGTAGCTGGTACTGCAGGTGCATGCCACCATGCTTGGCTAATTTTTGAACTTTTTTGTAGAGATGGAGTCTCATGAAGTTGCCCAGGCTGCTCTCAAACTCCTGGGCTCAGGCAATCCTCTCACATCAGCATCCCGAAGTGCTGGGGTTACAGACATGAGCCACCACACCCAGCAACAATGAAGTTGTCCAGGTCTTCTCTCCTTTGCTTCTGGACTGAGAATTCTATATTCTCATTTTACAAATGAGCCTGTGAGTCACCACACCTGGCAACAATGAATTTTTCCAGGTTTTCTTCCCTTTACTTCTGGGCTGAGAATTCTATATTCTCATTTTACAAGTGAGGAAAGTGAGAATGGACATGGCCAAGAAACTGCACCAGTGTCCACAGTTAGTAAACTGCTTAAACTAGGAGAGACATCTTGGTTCTCCATCTTTTTACTTTTTCTATCTTGCCTTTTTATTACTCTTTTGAGACTCAAGGCAGTAGGGTCAGGTCCTGAGTAAGGCCCTTTGACTTCTTGCTCCAAGCTTAAACAACAATCACACTTAAACCAAACTAAACCCATCTCCTGTTTCTTGCATGACCTACCCTCTGCATCCCAGAGCTACCATTTCAACTGGCAAATGTTATCATGACAAACAAGAGCCAGCAAGTGCCAAACTCACAAAGGCCTTATAGGTGAATTAACCTGAAGACAAAAAATCCCAGAGGGAGTTTTCCTATTATGGACTACAGGCTTTGTGAAAGGCCAAAACTAAAAGGCTTCACCATTAGCAGGGTCTAGAGTCATAACTAGGGGTTACTGCCCACCCCCATCCAAACCTAGCTACCTGGGAAGGAACCTGAGAAATGAAGTCTATGGGTAATCCTTGGAAAAACTCCAAAACAAACACTGCCTGCGGCTTGGCACTGGCTTGGCACTGGTTCTCAGCAGCTATACCTCACAGGACAAACAATAATAGGATTTCTAACAGGGAAGGTGTGATGCTGGCTTCTTTCCCAGGGACTGGTCCCTAGCGGGCTGCAGGGTCTAAATATTTCATACAACTTGAAATATCCAGGCCTGCTTCCAACTTTTCCCTTCCTCAATTTATTATAAACACAAACACAAGATTTGTTTCCTGTGTTGTTTTTACTATAGCTCTGCCTTTTGAGAGTCCCTCACTGGCATCTGTGTGCCTTCCACATCAAACTCATAGACTTTACCATTGGCGACAATCCGATTTAATTTTAAAATATTTATTAAGCACCCATTGGCACTGAGCTCACTTCTGTGAAGGATTCAAGAAAATAGAATGATTCAAAATTTTATTCAAGAATATAGTCCAGGACATCTAAAGGAATTAGAAATTAATATAAAATTCTAAAATAAACTGACTATAAATCAGAACTAAAATGTATGGTATTAACACAAGTAATTTTTGATATGCTTTTAAATGCCCACTAATATTGTCTTTTTCTTCATAACTTTTCTTATCTTTTTGAGACAGGGTCTCAGTGTGTTGCCCAGGCTGGAGTGCAATGGCACAATCATAGCTCACTGCAGCCTTGACTTCCTGGGCTTACAACATCCTCTCACCTCAGCCTCTCCAGTAGCTAGGACTACAAGCATGCACCACCAGGCCAGTTAATGTTTTCTATTTTTGTAGAGACGTGGTCTCACTATGTTGCCTAGGCTGGTCTCATGCTATCTACCCAACTCAGCCTCTCAAAGTGCTGGGATTATAGGTGTGAACCACTGTGCCGGGCCACAGGTTTTCTTAATGCTTTGTTTCCTAGGGCAATTATCAGGTAGATTCTTTCAGGGATGTAGACATTATCAAAAGGTCAAACTTTCAACCAATAAACATACAAGCTTGAAGGTATTTCTGAAATTATTTTAGGAGAATATACAAACGAAGGTTGGAATCTACCTATCTCACCTTTGGGGAGGGTGACCAGCAGCATGAGCTCCATTCTGGCCAAACTGATGGGGTCCAGGAGGCGGAGGACCTGGAGGCAATATCGCTCCAGTGGCAGTGGCCCCCAAAGGCCCTGCTGGCTTAATCATACCTGCAAGAGAGGAGCATGAATTTAGAAGTGTATTAAAGTACAAAGAGAGACGAGGCAAAGGCATTAGGTTGAAAATGAAAACTAGGTGGAGGAGGAGGGAAACAAATGGATTAGAGCAAAATCTCTTTCAAGCTTAACCATCACCTACAGACCTGTCAATACCAGGCTCTGGCATAAGTATCTGACTATCATAATAATGAAAGAGCAGAAAAGAAGGAAATCACTTTATCACTAAACAGAAACTAAAACAGAAAAAACAACTTTGCATATGACAGAGGGACCTTGATAAAGCACATTACCACACAAAGAATACTAGAACATGTAATGAAAAATGGCAGTAAGATATCAGAAAATAAATCTGGAAACAGTGGGAAGGGTCATGGTACAGCATTCTAACTGTAACTATATGGGAGCATGGGAGAGGCCACTAGAAATGCTTTTGAGTTATAGCACAACAAAAGCAGACGGGGGTAGGGTCTATTTTTCTTAAAATCCTGAGCATATCCTTCAGAGCTTAATAATTTTTCCAGGATCCTAAATGGCTAGATGATAAACAGCTGAGGGACTGCTCACTCTAAGTCAGACTTTTCATGCCTGCTCAGACAAAATATAGGACTACATGCAATTAATGGATGCTTCTGGGAATGACTGTGCTTTCACTTATTAGCAGCTCTTCTCAAATAGAGACCTTTAAAGACTTCTCTTTGAACTGTCTTCAGACATAATAGAGGAGAAAAATCACTAGGCTTGGGTTAGAGTAGTTCAAGGCCCCACATGGTTACTTAGTTGTATGACCGTGGGCAAGAAGCTTTTCTTTAAGGACCTCAGTTTTCTCCCTGCAAAATGAAAGGCTTAGACTAGACTACCTGAGACCTCTTCTAGCTTCCAGAAAGAAGAAAAGAGAAAAGAAAAAAGGAGAAAAACTTCAATTCTTCTATCTGCTCTCTCTACTTGCTTGTTTTCACTCATTCAATATATTTTTGACAGTGCCCTGCTCTCTGGCAAGGTCATCAATGACCACCTAGCTGCCTGCTGTGCACTCCTCCCTTTGGCTTCATCATGGTATTTCACATTAACATTCTTTCTTTTGTTATATTCCTCTTGAAAGTTTATTCCCTCAGATAGAAAGGAACTGACTGATGACCTGCAGTCACCCAGGAAGAGTTTCTTATATTGCCACCATAACTGCTTTCGAGAGAATGCTTTCAGATGTTCGGGTAATCTAAAATAACAGGTATCTAGAAGTACCAATCTTCATGAATAATATTGAAAGTTTTACAAGGTTTCTTCTCTTAAAATAGGATTCCTTTAACTGAGGACATTTTTATATTAATTCTATATAGTTTTGCTTAGCACATTTATATACTACCATTTCAATAAATATTATTCTAACACCACATTTTAATACAAAGTTCTAAACCCCAAACCCAGCAAAGTTAGAAAAACATGAGACTTGCAGTTACAGACGGATTTGAATTTGTGATTCTGACAACATATTCTATTTTTCAGAGCCTCAACTTGTCATCCCATGTCATGGTAATAATATCCTCTAGCTCCAAGGATTGTTCTGAGAATTAAATAAAGCAATGGATATGACAGTATTCAGAACAGCTGATTCGTCTCTCCTGGCCATAGCCCCTGCTCTCCTTCTGCAAACATTTTTATTCTACTAAAGCATATGCACCATAATTACAAGCACATTTGTATTTTCATCTTAAAAACATTATTTTGGACAAAAGTAGGCAATTCACAACAGTAGCATTAATATATTTTCAACTTAAATAATTACATGCACTATAAGAAATCACACATATTCTTTTTTTGTCTTTATTTTTGGGTTTTTTTTCCTTTTTTTAAATTTGCCTCACAGCTCTCCCCAAAAATAACCTCCATTTTTAAAAAAATAAGTAGAATAATAGCAATTTTCAGGAACAACCCCTATAAACATGCCTAGAGAATTTTTAAAAAAACAGCTATAATATGAGCAAGCAGAACTTTATACATGAGTCTTACTGTACTTTCCCTTTTATTTGGGAATCAACTCTATAGCAATGATTCAAATCATTCTGTGGCATTCTTAAATCATTCTCATTATTATTCAATATACATTTAAGGTGATTTTTGAGGCACTGAGATAAAAGACAACCATGTAAACAAATAATTACAATGTCTTGTGATGACTGTTAGAATATGCAGAGAGACTACTCAACTCTTCCTGGGGGAATCCAGAAGGGTTCAAAGAAAAAGGACTGCTTGGGCTGAATCTTCAAGGACAAGCAGAAGCTTTCTTAGTATAGAAGACAGGATAAGGGATTCCAGTTAGAAGGCAAAGCTTGTGCAAAGACATGAGAGAGGATGGCACAATCAGGACAGGGAAAGGGCTCGGTGTGGAGAGGCTGGGAGGGAAAGTAGCCAGAGTGGAGGCCGTCCAGGTTGGCTGGGGTCAGACTGCAAAGTCCTGTATGACACTTGCACTCCACCCTCAGGGCAAAGGGAAGTCAGTATCACTGATATCTGCAAAGTCATGGTCTTCCCCCAGCCACGTTATTGGCATTTTCAAAAGTACTCAAACACAAAGAGAATCAGGTTCTTTATAGAACAGTATGAGAATTTTAACAGAAAAGGTGCACTGTGCAGTGACATCGAACTGTGCTTAGAAACGCCTCACCAAAAAAATCTAAGATCACAAATTGGTCTCTAACAGGGTGGCAGATCCTATAGACCAGTTAACTCAACAATTCCAATCCCTTTCTGACTTGCCTTTCTATTAATATTAATATACGGTCTTGAGATGGAAAAGTGAAAATTCCTAGATTGCCTTACAATTTGTTTTGCCATGTGCTCTAAATTCAGCAAAGCAGCACACCTCTGGGAGGCACTGGCAAGCCTGGTGGCAGACGGTTCTTCTGGGAGAGAAAGGTGGTGACTTCTGGTGGAATGGTCCTTCATGGGACTGTTCATCTTCATGGACCACATACTCCCAAGTCTGGTTCTCTGCCTTTTTCTGATGTTTTGTTTGCTTCCCAATACCTTTTAACAAATCCCTTTCCACTCAAGGGGATTGTTAACAGCAAAGGAACACTGACCAAAACCACATCACAGAAAAGCATATTTTGAATTTGGTCCTGGACCTGACAAACTAAAACCAAAATTATAAGCCATTTGTTGGGGGGAAAATGTTTATCTAAAATAAACAAAGATAAGCTCCATATTATATCAGTAGGATTGTAATGGCTATGGTCCCTGAAGCACCGTGCTGGGTGGTGCACCTACATAAGCTGTTAGGAGCCCTATCACTACCCCACTACCCCTGTCCTAGTTTCAGGACATTAATACTTCTTGACTCTCAGTCTCCAGACCAGTGTCCTCAACCAAGGGTGATTTTTTCTCTAAAAGGACATTTGGCAATGTTTGGGACATGTTTGGTTGCCACAACTCCCGGGTGGGAGGACATACTACTGGCATCCAGTGGATGTGCTGTGTAGCTTTCTAAAATGTGCATACATTGGATTGTGACCCTTCCCAGATTAAATCACTTAAGTGGTACTCTACTGCCCTTACAATAAAGTCTAAGTTCCTTAAAATGGTCCCACATTCCCCTGCCAGTGGCATCTCTCACCATTCCCATGCCATACCCCAGCCATGCCAAATGTCTTGCAGGTCCTAAAAAGTACTGCCTTCCAATCCCAGCAAACTGATTCCTGATCGGGCCGATTCTCACTCATGTTTCAGTGCATTCCCTCCGGGAAGGAGCCCTTTCACCCTAAGTCTTACTTAGGTGACCCTGTCTCGTGCTTCCATACCACTCTCTACTTCCTTTACAATAGTATTTCCCCCCAAAATTGTCATTGTTAATTTATTTAATGCATTTTTCACTAGCTAAGTAAACACTATGAGGACTGAGATTAGGCTTATTTTATTCAATGTCATATTACCAGAAGTATTTTGTTCACCAAATAAATCTGTTAAAACTTGTGGTTGGGTGCAGTGGCTCATGACTGTAATTTCAGCATTTGGGGAGGCTAAGGCAGGAGGATGGCTTAAGGCCAGGAGATCAAGACAACCCTGGGCAACATAGTGAGACCTCATCTCTATAAAAAAATTTTAAAATTAGCTGGGCATGGTGGGGCACACCTATACTCACAGCCACTTGGGAAGCTGGGGTAAGAGGATAATTTGAGCCCAGGAGGTCAAGGCTGCAGTGAGCTATAATCTCTTCACTCCAATCTAGCCTGAGCAACAGGGCAAGACACTACCTCTTTAAAAAAAAGTGTTAGCATACAGCACTAGCTTTACAAAAACATAGTGAATAGGCATAAATGGAGATATGATGATGTAAGCAACACAAAGCAAGAGTTTGAACTGGCCAGAACTACAGTGGAATAGATACTTCAAAAAACTACAACTAGGTTGCTTGTGTCTGTCAGAAGACCAATAAAAGAGTCACGAAAAGGCTAGCCAACAATACACATGAAGACTGAAGATGAAGGTATCTAAGGTTATTCAGCAGAATATAATCAGAGAAGTAAGAGCTGGGGTAATTTAGAGAAAGCCTTCTTTCTCAAGAAGATGCCTGTGAAGACAGAAGGGTGAATAATAATGAGTGTATACTTAGGTGTGTATGCAGTTTCTTTTTTGCCTTCTTGAGAGATCTGGGTACGAATCCTGGCGCTACTACTTGCTATCTGTGACCTTAGACAAGTCACATGACACCTGATACCAGACATTCAATTTTCCTAGCCGCAAAAATACCTTACTGCATAGCATTGTATGAGTATTAATTAAGATGATACAGAGACAGCTTTTAAGACCAGATTTCGATACATCCTAAGCACCCAAAGTAGAATAATTTATAATTATCATTATAAACGCATGCTGAGGAGGAATGAACCACCAGATAGAAACTGGAGGCATTAATGGTTTCTACAGGATCCAGAAAGGCAAGATTATAAATGTTCTAGAGAGGACTGTCCTGAACAAGAAGGGGGATGCTTCATCTGGACATCTTTAAAATTTAGGGAAGAATAAATCATAAGAGTGACTTTCCACAGAAAATTCACAAACTCAGAGCATCTTCTGCAGAATACTGCGTGTGCCTGCTAACATCAAGCCCTACCACAGGGAGTCCTCACCCCTTGCTGACTCTGCACTATATACATGCTACGGAGCACAGCCTGGATCCGAGATATCTGAGTTAGTTCCAGTGAGCCCTGAGAGCTACTCATTGATTTACACATGGTCCATTTTTACGAAGAATTATCCTCATATATAACTGATGTACAAATTTATCTAGGACCAATCCTAGCTAAGAATACATAAATTTAAATCATTTATAGATTTAATTCATTTTTTATTCAATTAGTACAATAGCTTTACACCACTAATTAATAGCAGGAACAAGTCTCACAGTAAAAATAAAACAGGAAGTGTTTTAGTCTATATTTAAAAAACAAACTTGTATTCCATGCAATAACCAAACTAGTGATGTAGAGCTCTGCTATGAGAGCCTTTTCCAAATGATCCTGTAATCTAAGCCATTTCATTACATAATGATCATTCAATGCATTCAAATCTCCTCTTTCAGAACATCTTATGTCTCTGAGCCTGAGAACTGAATAATCACCTACAAGTCAAAATAACACACTTTACCTGTTGGAGATGCTGTGTGTGATGGATCCCCATAGTGCCCGTAATGAGGTGGAGAAAGGCCTATTCCAGACTGGGGCTGAGAATATGGGGGTGTAGCCACGTAACCTTGTTGACTCATTATGAAAATATCATTCCAAAGGATAATCCTACAAAAGAACTCTGCAACAGAGAAACAAAAAACATGTTACCAAGAGAGTTTTAGTCACTTAATGCTATTAAAAATATAAACACTGTTAATACATGTTTATGATGGTTTGAGGAAAAGTACAATTATCAGGTACATGAGAAATCTTTGCATTATACAATATAATATATCATTATCCCCTTAAAAAGGTCTAATCACACCTCTCTGAAACTCAGTAAATCACTTCAATAATTCTGGGCAAATGCTCAAGCATTTGAGACCTGAATAACAACTGCCAAACACTTTTTTATTGGAAGCCTGAAGCTTTTCAGATAGTTTTTCCTAAGTGCTCCTACAGTTCTGTGCTTTTGGTTTCCATGGTCACATTTCAGCAGAGAGCACACCATGCCATTCAATTGACTGACCACCATAACTGCTAGCAGTCTGCAATCAGACCTTTTATGACTTACCTCTTTTTAGTGCTCCTCTAATTAGTCATTTTAATCTGGTCATCAGGACAAAGAAAAATCACAGTCCAACAAACATGGCAAAAGATAAAGTTGATAATGGGCTTATTTTATGAGTCATAATTTGAACAAGCCAGGTAGTCACAATAACCACTTGAGTGTTTTCGGTGGTTTTTCAAAGGCGACAGAATTTTTTTTTCTAATTTAAATGATATCACATCTCTAAGAACATATGCACCTATATTTAAGGGACTAAGAAAAAAAAAAGTGTAATTCTGTAAATGTGTAGGCACACACATCACAAATATAACAGACTCATCTTGATCCTTTTATTTTCATCTTGATTCTACTCAGAACCCAAATTTGCTTTAAATTTTCCATTTTTCCCGGTTTTCACAAAATAAGAGCTATTTCATAGGACATTTAAAAAAAAATAAATAAGATAAAAGATGCTCTGAATCCTGGCAAGAGAGGTATGTTTTCACTCTATATCTGCCATACTTAACTGTGTGACATGGAATAAGCTGAAGAACCTCTCTGAGCCTCAGTTCTTTCTTTTAGAAAATGAAGCCTTTAGGAGCCTTTCCAGATTTCCACTAATTCTACAATTCCCCTCCAGTTTATTTGCCCCATTCAGGCATATTTTTCCTTTTGTTCTTTTATTTGCTGCAATTTAAGATAACAGATCAGTGATACCTGCTAAGGCTTAGAATATGTCTATATTCAAGAAATCACATTTCAAATTTAAAATCTGTGATTTGATCTTGTTTCCATATTAAACTATACGTTTCCAAAATTAAAGCAACCACGTAAAAATATTATGATATCACTTCCTTCTCCTGGGAAGGGGAGAACTGAAAAAGAGGACAGAGGCAGGCAAAGGCCTTCTGGTCCACTTTGTTCTTGACAACTCTTTTTCCCTCCTCCCACTTAGCAGAGAGAGACGTGGCAGCCTGAGCTTTGGTCAAGCTCATCCAACCAAGAGCATTTAGGAAGTCGGCACGAACCCACCTAAGCAGCAGCCTGTTGCTGAGTGACAGAAAAGAGAGGCAAAGATGGTCACTCCAAAGAATAGGAAGCAGCCAGGTCCCTCTAAACTGGTCCTGAGAGGAATCAGCTTCCTCAAGCAACCCAGTTTGCCACGTCAAACTTCCTCACACAGCACCAAGTTAAAGAAACCTGACTCAGCTTCAAGCGGCGACATGGCAGAAAGCCACTTGGCGTGAGCAGGCCTAAGATCAAAATCTGGGGAGCCCCAACCCCAGAACGGCCCCCTGGCCCACTGTCACCCAGCAACTCCAGCCAAGGTGCGCTTCTAACCCTGGAACAAGTTCGGATATAGCCAGGTCAGTTTCACTATTCGGATGTCCCGAAGCTACAAGATATAGTTGCCATTTTTATCATGAATATTTCCAACAGTCCCTTCCTTCGAAAAAGGAAATTAAGTTGATACGGAGACGAGAAAACCACTGGCAATGACACTGGAATGGTGGCCACTGAGGATCCTAACTAGGCGGTTCCAGCATCCCAAGGCAAAAGGTGGGGGCGGGTAAAACATGCCCACGCCCACCTCCTTCTCCCCTATCCCGCCCGCCCCACTATTAAACTGCACTGAAAGGCTAAAGGAACAAAGAATGGGGTGTCCTCCCGCCGCCCCAGCCTCAGGTGAACACCCGGCCTCCCGCCGCGTCCCCGGGCCGGGCGCCGCACCCCGCTCCGCGGTGCCTGGGCAGGGGCTGTCCCGCCTGAGCGCGTCGGCGGGTGCGAGGCTTTACCTGCTCCCACTCCCGCACCCCGCGGGCTTCCGAGCGCTGGCGGCTCTGCGCCTAGTGCCGGTGAGCCGCCTCCCGCTGCGGCCGTTCCTCTCGCCGCGCCTCTTCCCTGGCCGGCGTCCCCTCAGCCTGGTCTCACGCTCGGAGTTGCAGCTGGGCTGTGAACTGCCACGTCAAACCTTCTCCCGGCCGCGCGCCCCCGGCGCCAGGCTGGGACCCGCCGCCGCGCTCCCGCTTGCGCACGCGCACAGCCGCCGGCCGCGGCGGGGAGGGGCGGGGCTACCGCGCCGGGCCAGCGAGCTGCCGAGCGACCTCCTCCTTTTCGCTTTTTGCCTTTTTCCGTTTTTTTTTGTTTTTTCGTTTTCTTTTTCCCGTCTTTCCTTTCCCCTCCCCCTACAGGTCAAACACTTGAACGTCGTGGCTAAATCAGAACCGTATTTTCTCCGCGCAGCCCTGTAGGAAGGAGGGGAGCGCGTTCATTCATTCTTCCATCAACAGGTTGCAGTTTCAGCTCTTCATTCATTACGTATTACTTAAATAAGGAATAGTTCAGGCACGGCACTACCGTTACTTACAGGAAAATACACGATCTGGACCTAGAGGAAATTACTGTTTAAACGCGAATCTGGCACGTGTACACGCACATTTGATGACGTACCCGTGCGAGACACTATAGAGGAAGGATCGCCCAAAGCAGCTTGGCAACGTGTAACACTGAGGGGTGGGGGAGTGCGGGTTGATGTCCCAAAGGAAAAGTGTGGGAAGTGGGGTTTCCATTGACATCGCGGTTGCTAGCGTTCTATACACTCGTTCATCCTCATATTCCTTGTTTGTGAACTAGGATGACTGATCCCAGCCCCAAACAGGATCTCTGCATGTAAAAGCACTCAGCGTTTATAGCTCACTATCCTGTGAGAAACCGTTCAGAAATAAAGGCAACGTATACAATATATGGAGCTTACTTCTCTAATCTCACCCTAAAATCAGGAGCATTTAGCTGGTTTCCCATCATTTCTCACTGCTAAATAGAAAGCCATTCAGCCACAGCCAGGTTTGGTGTAGCTACCACTTTGCTCAAACTTACAAAGTAAAAACCAGCCTTGTGCTGTTGTTTTTTAACGTGTCCAGAATCTCGGCCACAAGAAACCTACTTGACAAATACCTTTACTGATGAATTGCCTATGTAAAAACGTACATGGAGATGTTGCTACTCCTGAGATGCTACATGAATTGTGCAGGAATTTTAAGTCATTTTAGCCGTAAAGATTTATGATCCCTTTTTCCCACTCTTAGAAGTTTTTAAGGCATGTGGCAAGGTGTGGTGGCTCACACCTGTCATCTCAGCACTTTGGGATGCCAAGTGGGGAGGATTGCTTGAGGCCAGGAGGCAGTGAGCTATGATCACACCACTGCATTCCAGCCTGGAGAACAGAGTGTGAGACCTGTCCCAAGAAAAAGAAAAAAATATTTTAAGGTGTGATAACCTGCCTACATCCAGCTTCAACACTGGTCAGGTTTGTAAAACCACATTGAAAATTTTGTTTCAAACTGTTTCTTATATTCTCAATGTGATGAAAATGTTTGGTGGAAGTTTAGGAAGTTTTGGCCAGTGCTGAAGCAGTACAGCTTGTAAGAGTAGTGAAAGAAGTTGTCATATCACAGCTGCATAACAAGGAGAGAGTGAAGCTATGATGCAAGGATAGGAGAGAGTAAAGTCAGAAACAGTCACACCATGTGATGACCTGCTTGACTTGGTACCCCTATAAAACCACTACATTTGAATTGTAAATACATCCTCACTTCCTGCTTAGGTACCAAACTTGTCTGAGACTAGGACAATTTGTGATTTCAATTCTAAAACAGTTTTTAATTCCTAAATGTTAAAGCTAGAAGGGACTTTAGAGATATGAGTATTCAACTCAACATTCAGTGAGAACTGAATTCCATTTAATCATCTAATGGATTAATAGGTTTATTGAGAAAATTTAAATGACTTACTAGTCATTTACAGCTAGTTAGAAATCATGCCTTCCAATTCCAAAGCTCTCTTCACCTCCCTATGCTTTTTACCTTTTGATACTCTGATTTGCTGTTCTCTTTTAACTGGTTCTGCCTTTTTCTCCTGTGACTGCCTTATAGTCAAGTTCTCAAATAACTAAGTATTAACTGACTGCATAATTCCACCAACAGTTGGACTTACTTATCATAAATCTCTTTTTTTTAATGAAATGGGCTTCTGGTTGCATTTTACTTTCTTGTCCTGTCCCCAAGTGCCCATGCCTTAGGTGACTAACTCCTAACTTTGTTCATGTGATTGGGTCCCTGGCCTTCACGAGTTGTGAGGGTTGGCCTGGAGTCTCGGCCTTCCTTGATCTGACCCATCCTGTTGCCACCTGAGCTTAGCCTCTGAACATAGCCTTAGTTCCATATGTAATTAATTTAGTTTCCCAGGTAACCATATCTATTTGAAAGGTGAGGTCACAAGGACCTCACAATGCCCATGTATGGGGGTTCTATGTTCTAACTTAAAAACGGAAGAAAGCAGTCATCTACACTTAAGACTATATAGAAAGAGAAGGAATTTCCTGACAACGCTTAAGATTTCTTCTAATTGGCAACCTTTTGAAGGTGATGATGCTCTAAGCGTTTATGTAATTTACAAAGTTTGGACTTTCTGATTCCAAAGCTGAAAACAGTTTGAAAAAGCTTTATTAAAAAAAAATTAAGTTGGCCAAATCTGGAGTATTTTAAATACCTGGAAATGTAGTAAATAAGGTCAAGTTAAATGGGGGTGATAGGAAGGGTACATGGTATGGTAAGCCAAGTAGCAACTAATAATGGTAATGATAGAGTTCAAGTAATACCAAGGTGCTTCTAGAATTACTTTTTGGATCTCTCGAATATCATGCTCTAAGTATACTATATCACATACAGCATCAACCACAAAATGGGCAGTGGGACATCACACTGCCAGCTCAAATTGACTCAGGTTTGAATCCTGACAGTTTCATTTACTACTAGCTATGCAAGTTTTACTTATTCAACAAGTGTTTCTTAAGCACCTAATATAAACTGGATACTGTACTAAGCACTGTGAATTTAAAGTCAGATGAGACACTGCCCTAAGCTATGAGAAACTCATCCAATAGTGCAAGGATCGGCCAATGGCAGCCCATACACTGTATTTGGCCTACCCACCTGTTTTTGTACAGCCTTCAAGCTAAGAATGGCATTTACAGTTTTACATGGTTGAAATTTTTAAAAAATATTTTGTGACACATGAAAATTATATGAAATTCAAATTTCAATGGCCATAAATAAGTTCACCTGGAACACAGCCATGCTTCTTTATTATCATATTCTGTGGCCGCTTTTGTACTATCAATGGTAGAGTTAAGTAGTTATGACAGAGACCACGAGGTCTGCAAAACCTAAAATATATACTACCTGGCCATTTACGGAAAAAATTTGCTGCCCCTGCTCTGATAGGATGTACAATTATAATATCATTCATATTCATTCTATGAGGTTGCCACGAGAATATGTAAGAAGGGACACTTAACCCAGATTTGGAAAGCAAGTGACACGTCCCTGGTGGAGGTGGCATCTGTGCTGAGGATCTGAGGACGGTAGTAATGCAAAAAAAGGGTAAAGGGCAGAAGGGAATAGCATGAATGATTTGAGGAAGATGAGGAACATGGGGCATTCAGAGGTGCTAGAAGTCCCCTACAGCTTGGAAGTGGGTTTCTAGAGGAAATGAGATTAGACAGGTATGCTAGCATAGCTCATGGACCCCTCAAAGGCACTGGAAAAGGCAATGAAACATTTTCATTGTTGTTGTTGTTGTCCCAGGTTTATTGAAAATAATACAGCATTGTTTCAAACAGGTCCCCAAGGCGTTTTGAAATTCATCCCAACTGTAGGCTGAGTGACCTGCAGGTTGGACAGACTGCCAAAATCCAAAAGCTTCAGCATTTCCTTAGTGTCAGGATCTACTTCAATGATCTCCTGATCCAGGGCTGAGACCTCAGAAACAAATTGTCTCTCCTTTCTCTCTCCTCCTTCTGCAGCTTGATGGAGATACCTTTTACTGGGCCTCTCTGAATCCGCTTCATTAGATGTGTGACATAGCCTGCTATCTTGTTGCGGAGCTTCTTGCTAGGCATAATGGCGATCTCCTCGCACACACGCTTGTTCGTGTGGAAGTCGTTGCCCAAGCGTGTGTAGTACCTTTCTATGATGACCCGGGCCGCCTTCTTCACGGTTTTGGTGCAAATGTGGACCATGTTGGTGGGTCCTCAGTGAAAGAGGGGCAATGAAACATTTTAAGCATGGGAATGACACAGTGGATTCTTTTTTTCTTTCCAGAAAGATCGGTCTGGAGTTACCGAAAGAGTGGAAGAAAGGACAAGGCAAGACTGGTGGGGTAAAGAAGAGTTAGGACACTGTCGGCAGTAATCCAGATAAGAATATAATGGCTTGAGCAAAGGCAGTGGAGATGTGGGTAGAGAAGACAGACAGGTGGGAAAGAGGTTGATAATGAGCATCAATGGGAATGGGTACAGAAATCAGGAAAGTGAGGCAGAATACAGACAAACACTCAGATTTTTTATCTGGGAGAATTAGTGGATGAGTGGTAGAGCTATATAAGTGGTTAGGGAAACAAAAACGAGCAGATATGGGGAAGGGATGGGATCAGTTTTGGAGAAGTCCATTTTGAGCTATCTGTGGGACATCTATCTATGTGGAAGTGTCAAGTCACCTGTCAGATATGTGTGTCTGGAGCTAGGAGACAAATCTGAACTGGACGTAATAGAAGGCAGCCAGCAATGAAAATTTAAAAATCAATCTGGCAGAGAAGAGGTCAATCAGGCTCTGCAGTCAGACTAAGTCATGACTTCTGATTCTGTCCCTTATAAGCTGTGTGTACTCTCCCTAAACCTCAGTATCCTTAGCTTTAGAAATTAAAGGAATAATAATAATCTCAAAGGTCGTTGAGGGGATTAAATAATACAGGCAAATCACTTAGTACAATGTTTGATATATAATAACTGATCAATAATGTTATCATTGTGGCATCATCATCCCAATCACGATTAATAACATATAAGTGACAATTGAAGTCATATGAGTAAAGTCAAAGGATGAAACCCTTGGGAACCCTAGAATAGATACATGTTCTAAGTTTACTAAACCTTGGTTTACTCATTGTAAATTAAGAAGATTACATTT